TGAAGAGGTCTTGGGAAGGCCAGAGTAGTAGGAATAGTATCTTGTGTACAAAGAGGAACGAAGAATAATAGGGAAGAAATTTGACTTGGGAGCACACGACCACCAAGGAGGGACAGCCGGGTCTAAGTGCCGGTTTGACAGCAGTCAGGCCAGTGGGCAGATATAGAGCGTTCATTGATTGAGTCGGCCTTGAAGGCCTTTGGCCAGACAGACAGATCACGTCGAGAACGCGTACAGGCATGCTATTCGTTGCCGTGCTAAGGACCAGCATTGCGGTGTCTGGCTGTTCGCAGACATCGAGAACCGCAGACGTGAGATTCTAGCGGAATTCACTTCGAAGTGAGCTAGCCACTACGGATATACCACCGACTGTCCGCGATGAGGACCCGCCTGTAAAGCCTCTGTTCCCGTTTTACACAATTCTGCGATTAGTGGTGGCCACCCTAACATCCGTTATCGCCTTTTAGGCCTTCCAGCTGAAAAAAAATGTTCGCTAGATAGACATCGATGACCAATACGATACCCCAGTTTTCCTTTACTGTTCTTATGCTTCCAAACGTCGTCCTCGTGCATACATGAATGCCAAGGAGATGGGCAAATATCGCGGACCGTGCCCATAGTTGGCCGGACCCCAAGCCTGCCTCAGAACCGTGTGCCATTCTAAGCCGAAAACGGCAAGACAGCTTAATACTCTGTGATCCGTCAGATCTCCAACAGAAAGTATAAATAAGAGGATACAAGTAGGAGTGTCTGATGTATCAAGAGTCGTGTAATTCTGCGTAAATGGGCAGAAATAAAACCCGAGGCCAAATTTCTTATCTTGAGCAACTGAAATGCGAGTTTGATTCAGTTATATTAACCTCCCAAGGAATGCGAGCTGCGGGAGTTGAAGCTTGGAAACATAACGTCTTCGACAGCCGACGGCACAATTGATAATGATTGGGGTACAAAGAGTGGATAAGGAATGAAATCAGGTTTATAAGGTCAAAGTCGATTTTTGAAGGAGAAAAACTCCAAGTACAGCTGTACAGCAAAAAACGTAACTATTAATGATAGCAGTGAGGAAGCGGCACCCACGAGCGGTCAGTTTTTATAAGATAAGGATTATGGACCGGTGGAGGGGCAGTTTTATTGGACAAAACGTTTCTTCGGATCAAAAACATGTTTCTTGAACTCCAAAATGACTGAAAGGCTTTGCAGATCGGCAGTGTTTGCGGCGGCGCCGGCGCCAGCGTTAGCTTTCTTGCTGCCCTTCGAACCAAACTTCTGAACAAGGCTGTCGGGCAGATCCTCTGAAGAAAACAAAACATGAATAATTGGTCAGACAATGAGAAATGGACTAGGTAGGTCGTTGAGAAGAAATGGGCGTAATTGTTGGAACAAGAACCTTAGACTAGGATTCGTGCTAGAATCAGGCATATCATCACTTACGGGCAGAACTAACAAGGATTTTAAAGCTAACGCAATTCTCCGCACCGCGGACGCGTGTTCGGCCATCCGAGTCAAGGGCTGCGTTTCAAAAGTGCTCACACCTGCGTCAGATACGATTCCCGACTCTACATTCAACTCGAGGACGTTCTGTTTTGTTGTGACGCTCTGCCCACTGACGAGTAGTGGCTAACGCGGAAGTGGCGGCAACAAAGACTGCACTTATTTGGCTTCCTTTGCACCTCACTGTTCTAATAACAAAATTGCGAAGGGCGCTGATGATAGTCGAGTATGCGGCCCCACCCAGTCTAAGGTTGAAAGTTAGGCTCAAGCCGCCAGTTTAGATATCAATAGGGTTTGGTTAGGAACGTTGTTAACATATATTTAATCGCGGGCACCATGACGGTCGCATTTAACGATTTAACATTTACTCGACATGACCGGACATTAGTGGCTGAGGTTAGTTCATAGGGAATATACAATCAACCACCTTGCTTTTCATTTTGCCTGACTGTTTACATTTTCTAATTTCCATCATTTCAAATTGTAAGCTAACGTTTTTACGCTCTACTGTTGCGTTTAAGCAAGCCAGTGGAGTTAAAAGCAACTTCGCTTCCCAAAAGTCAGCATCGTTTACTACTACTACACACATGCATTACAGGAGCCCTTGCTCAGGGTATTCTAATTAGGACTGTAGTGAATAGCTCCACAGGAAGTGCACTTTGGGAACACCTACTGTTTCCGGCCTCTGTACCAGCCAATCACAGACCCACTCATCTGACGAATGCCGAGGGGACTTCACTTCACACCTCGTTCGCCGTCAATTTCCTATTCTGCCTATTCTCCCATTCCTGCTGTACAGAATGTACTCTTCCTACTACTGTGGCCTTCCCTCGATTTCTAATGACGTTATTGTCATGTACTGAAAACAGAAAGGCAGTTTTTAGACAGGACAAATGTTATGCAGGCAAAACAGAGGGTTGTCTCTTTTGGCAGGACGTGTACTGAGGACAAGGGTGCAGTTCAAATGGAGAGTCATGTTGACACCGTGGTGTATATGGTGTGGGGTAAGTATAATAGGCCGAAGGCTGGCCAGTCAGAATAAAGAAACGGGTGAACCCGCTGGCTAGGGGTGAGGCCTGGCCAGTCAGAACAAAGCAAGGAGTGAACACGTCCGTAACCTTAACCGGCGCTTGACGGGCGCATCGTGTAATGATGTTCCGACGCTACGGGTGGGCATACACAGCAGTTATAACTTCAAATGTTTTATAGAAAAGATGCATTATTTCTTTTTTTCCAATTTGGTGGAACATAGCGCCCCCTATAGATTTTATACATGGAGAAAAGGTATCTTTCGGTTTTAAAAACGTTTCCAATTATGAGATTTTTAAGATTGCGAATCCTTAATTCATGATAGGTAGTATCCGCAATTTACTAATGTTTCCTATAAAGGATAGAACATGATTCACTTCCACGTCAACATTTTATGAGAACTTTGTCTTTTTTTGATCACAGCGTCGAGAAATGTGCGATTTTCCCTAGAGAAAATATATACAAAATGCAATTTTAAAATACTGAATGCGAGAATAACGGCTGGAAGGGTTCAAAATTATTCGACAATTTAGACATTTATTAAAACCGAAAGATTCCCCCACACAAGTATAAAACTTGACGGCATAACTGTCTGCCAAAGAAGTAAAAGGGAAAAAATGTTGTGAAGATTTTCTATAAAACGACACACTGCCACTGCACTCTACTTAAGTTTCCACTATCTACAGAGCAGACGCTTGCAGGCGGTCAGCAAGAAGTTCTTTCAACAGGCAGCATTCTGACCTGACTGAAATATGTGAGGAGTAGGCGGCACGTTAGTGGCTATTAAAACACAACACAAGCAATTTGATCTGATCACGAAACCCCTTGAGAATTTAGGTTGACATCTCATGAGATAGGGTTCAGGCCGAAACAGGGAGCGTTCAGTGCAGGAATGTAGTTGGCAGACGCTATTCAGTGCCCACGGACACAGCATTAGCAACTACTGATGCTTTCACTCTACTGCATCGCCTATGCTGACAAAACATACATAAGTTGGGTACTTCACTCGGTTCTCTTAATCTATCCACACCGCCGTGTCGTCGGGAAGACTGGAGAGTTGAGCCTGACCGACTGGGCAGAGATTTCACGGGGCATTTGGATGCGTGAACATTAACGTTTTTAAAATTATTGGTTACGGAATGTGCTCCGTGAAGACGTACCTAACAGCCGAACACGGCATTTCCCGCTGAGCCCGAAACTGCCCTCAATCACACCCGGAATGTCCAATGCTTCGACAGGGGCGTCGCCGGCATCGGCGGCAGCACTACGGACATGGACCTTCAGGCCCTGGAATATATCAAAATTCGTCTCCCGCTTGAAGAGGCCACGAACAATGCAACTGCGACTGTCGGTTACGCGTTCAACTTCACCCGCGCGAGATTTCCGCCGATAAACCTGGAGCAAAACAAACCAATTAAAAGAACTACTAAAACGAAATAAGTAGTTGTAACACAATGAGTGTAATTTAAGTTACCGGAAGCGAGGACACCAGGTCGGCTGTAGGGAAGGTATTGAGGACTTTTCCGTGGAAGGCCAATCGACACGAGGGTGCAAGGGGATCTGTGTCTAGGCGAGAACCAATGGCTAGCTCACCCACAGGTACCACAACGGGTGAGTCGAACTGTAGCAACATGAAGGTATTGTTTGGCCCGTCAGTAGAACCATCTGTAAGTTGAAGTGAAGAGCCAAAATAAGGGGGGAAACGTACTGAACAAACTTGTTGTTGAACAGTTGATTTAAGAATTAGTCTTTAGATTTAGTGATGCTCCCACCCAAGTAGATGAGAGTTACGTCACGCGCAATTTCTTTAGGCTCATTCCACCGCCTCTAAAATTCTCAACAATAGTCTTTTTTGCATCCAAAGATGCCTTTCTTTGGAATAATCTTTCCCTAGACCTTAGGTCATGGGCTAAAAGATCGGAATTCTAATTGAGGCTATGTGAGAACCTTGTCTCGGATAGTATTAAGCCGTTATTGCCTGTTTAATTTCGAAACCCATCTTCTAGGGCACTCCTGGGGTTTACAGGCAGCTAATGCATGTTTAACTTATTCACTTTAAAATTCTCACTTATATTTTGACGAGGCTCTCCTTTTAATTGGGAGCTAAATTCACTGCTACAACACCCCATATCCCCCTCCCTCTGTAGCGAGGATGTTTACAGCTATCAAGGTTTTCTCCTCGTTTGAATACCAGGAAAGCAATTGACTACCCGTGGCGAATTCTTCTCCGTTTTCGTCATTTGCTGCTGGTCACCAAAGAAGGCTCATGATCACATCTCCCCACGCCGTGATAATCTGTAGAGCTTTGAATGTCTCCACCTCGTTTGAATACAAAGCAGACTGTGGACGATCACGCAGGGTTCTGCCTGTCTCGCCTGCTTGATGGTTGCTTCTGCTGCCATCAGAAAATATTATGATTTCAACCGCAGGAAATAGCCCGTTCGGTTTAGAATTTGACGAGGAACGCCTCGAACTTTTCTATACTTTGACCTGTAGAGCGGTCTTGTTCCCCGCCCAATTTTACTTTCCCGTGAATGAGTTTATTTTCTGCTTAAAAATAGTCAAATCAGAATTATTCTGCCTTTCTGACTAAAGTTGAAGTTTTTTTTTAAATTGTAATCACCGTTCACCAACCGTTTTTCACACCAGATTGCTTGTTTTATGATCAAAATATAGACGGTACTGTGCAGTGTTTGCTTGCAGGTTCCAAAATTCCCTCGAAGATGTTTCCTTAACCATAGATGTACTCGTATGGATGTTAAATAAAAACAATTTGGCTATTAGTGTTTTGAATGTCTACGATGAGTCATTGCATACAAAGGCGCCTGCCTGAGCTGCTATACTGTTGCCATGAGCACGCAGCGCCCTGGCCTTAGCTATCGATCTTTTGTCAGCTCTGATTGGTCCATGTCTCCGACAGATGAATAAAGATAGGTAGCCCTTCTGTGGGAATGAAGGCATTCCCAACCATAAGAAAAACAATCACAGATAGGAGCATCGATTGCTGGGGATGGTTATCCCGTCTTGGCTATTAGTCCCTAAGGATGTATTAGGAGTGCATCTAAATGGCATGAAAGAGCGCCTTGCTTAGGAAATTAGTCACAGCAGTTTGCACAGGCATGGCTAAATTATGTATTTCCGTGGCAAAACCTGATTCTTTTAGTTGATAAAATTTAGAAAAAATTCACGGCCTCGGTGGGAGTCGAACCCACACAGCGAGGGAGGCTTTTCAGCAGCCAACGCTCTATACTTCAGCTACGAGGCTCACCGTGCGCCGTGAGTTCAATCACACTTACAAGCAGATAAAACCAAATCCAAGTATGATTAAATTCACGGCGCATGATGAGTCTCGTAGCTGAAGTATAGAGCGTTGGCTGCGCAAAGGCCTTACCTGCTGTGTGGGTTCGACTCCCACTGAGGTCGCGAGTTTTTTTCACAATTGGGTTAATTAAGTTCAGCAAATCTGCCAACCTCCCCCCCCCTAACAAACTGATTAGTGTGAGTGTAATCAGGACTTCCCAGACACTCTTGTCATTTAAGCAAGTACCAGACTAGGAAGACAGACACCCATCATCAGGTGCAAACTACATTCGGTTCTACAAGAGATAAAAAAGTGGCCACAGATGCACAGCAATCGGTTTCGAGGTTATTTGCTGAAGCGTCAGGTGGGCAATTTTCAAGAGATTAAACTTTTATGTAGACAACAGTTACTTACCCTGATTCACATCAGACAGCATATCAAGGTATTGAAATTCTTGCGGTTCACCACCGGCTGGGGTGGGTGTACAGGCTAGGAGGCAGGTAATTGTAGCGAGCACAGTGTCCTGCCCGACAGACACATGAAACTTGCCCTTACTGCGCACCGTCGACTTGAAGTAGCCAATCTTGGTGACGGCAGAAAGCAGGCAGGCAGAACAGGGCAGCAGACTGCCGGGTTGGACTAAGAAGCCGCGCTCCATGACGCCGGCATCGAGTTGCGCTACGCAGATGCCAGCTCGGTCTCCCTAATCGGTGGGAGGGGGGGAAAGATAATTGCAAATTAGCGCGCACATAGTTTCTGACTAAAATCTGAAAGTTCCAAACTGGAGTATCTATTAGAATGTAAATGGCGAAGGCTGGCAGACCCACTGATGAGAGCCAAAGTCCTCGCAACTGTGGCATGCAGTGCCAGAATATCGGCGAAACATCATTCTAGGCTTCCACTTATTACCCGTGCTGTCCGTTTTGTATATGATATAAGCAATCCTACT